TGTTGCCATATCATTTTTTGATTGGTCGACATGGTACATTTTTCCACCAATAGGAAAGGGTGGGATTTTTTTGGTTTTGTTTTGCTCACAGGCGGAGAGTGCTTTCGAGCGTTATAAAACACAGTTTTTACCGTTTCTTCCACAGTAAATATAAACAACGATAGTATTCAGGAAGAAAACCAAACATTGCATATATTTTTATCATAACTCTGGTTTTACGTGGCCTATCAACGCAATTTAAAAACTAGTATAAAGTCCACACTTTTTCCGTCAATTGTTCCATCTGTCCTGCTCACATCTCCAATGGTTGTACACGCTGTCATTAACGTGGCTTCACTCCATATCAGCCACACCGCTTTGCTAGCTAAAACACCGCTAAAACACCAAGCACATAAGGACGCTGTCATAGCCTGTCAGCGACGTTGATTAGCTGCGTATATACGAGTGTGAATTGCATTATAGGCTGAACTATGGGATAAGGTGGCATCGTTCTGATCCCATACGGGAGCAGCCAGTTACTTACTGACTAACACTGCAAAACAGAATTGTTAAAGTATTAATCTTAATTTCAATTCAGGTTAGAATTTTTTTTTTTTGTGCGCAACGCAGATTTTCTGTGCGCAGAGACCGTGCCAGCAGTGCACAATTGCGCACACGTGCAGCTTAGAGGGAACATTGCTTGTACTGAACATTTAAACCTGCTTGGTCTTTTGAAGCTTGTCACACAAACTGTCCTGGACTCTTTACGCACTTCTCTATCCTAAAGTGTAACCAATAAAGAGACATACTATTTCCATGTGACAGTAAAGGAGAGTATAGGAGGCCATGGCAAATCTTCTGTTCTATGTCTGATTGCAAGTACGTACCAGTTCCTTTGAAGCTTCGTATGAGGTCAATCTTCCAATTAGGCACAGTCAAGCTTTGAAATCAGCATTTCCTTACTCAGAGTATTGTGAGTTTTTTGTTGTTTGTTTTTAAGCATTCTTTCACCAATTTTTTTAAAGTACCATGAAAACAAAGTTGACAGTTTGTAGGATATGCACTTGTAAGCAAGAGTGATGAAAACATACAATCCACTTTTGTAAGCGAGACACTTACGAAATTATCTGTATTTCCTTGTCTAAATGTGAAATTAACTGGACTTTATGGGTCAATTTTTCTCACAGATCTGGGTCAGAATAAATACTTTACTTTACTGAAGTTGAAATAATAAGTCAGTGTTCTGCTTCTTGGAAAACACATTAAATTCACTCAATGTCTCAGTGTCTCATAGGCTGAAACAATGTAATTCTGTGTGCAAGGTTGCATTATGTTAGATACAGATCTCAATTAGATTCCTAGCCTTTGCTTCTGATTTCTAAGTCAGCTTTTGAATGATCTCAAATGTTCTCTGCAGGAGGGACCCCCTACCCTGATTTGCCCATGAATGAATTATTCTACAGTGCTTTGAAGAGAGGCTACCGAATGGCCAAACCCACCCATGCCTCTGATGAAGTGTGAGTCTCACTGTCACCTTGACATTTTCTTGCCTTTTCAACAACTTTTGAAAAGAAACACACTTATTTCCTTATTTCATGTTGCTCGTGTTGCAGTTATGAGATTATGAAGAAATGCTGGGATGAAAAGTATGAGAAAAGGCCCGAGTTCTCATTTCTGGTCCACAGCGTGGGGAATATGCTGACGGACAGCTATAAAAAGGTACATAATAACACTTCCTAGTAGCTGGATGAGATATTGGCAAGCATTCAAGTACTTTACATTGGTGCAATTTCACAGTAATTTCACTTTAACCTTAAAATTGTACTTCAGTTTTATGGTTCTATTTTTATGCTTCTGCTTCAGCCAAACTCAGATGGAAATCTGGTGTTTTTTAAGCTCTTTTTCAGTCACCTTATGACATTAGCAATAATAGTTACTTGTTTTTTATTCTTTAAAATAAAGCAGTTTCACACTAAACCC